ATGGACTGTCAAGCAATTGACAGCGGAAGAGACTCGTTATCCCCTCAACCGTACCGACCAATTGTTGCTCTTCGTCCCCGATCGTTACGATGTGGCCGTTAACGGCTCCTCACTCGATATAAATTATAAATTTTGTTACTTCTCCTTCGGGCCCGTTATTTAGACGAGGAAATTTCCATACTGTTATACTATTCATACATACTCTTACAATATTTTTTTCTCATTTATTCTTAACCTTTTCCGCTACAGGGGGCGTATTTTCCGCCTCTTATCGATCTCACGTGAGTTACTATTTGTCGGTTTGCATGAACTAATGCCATTATTGTGTCAGCAAAAAATGAAATGACTTTCCAAATCCACCTAATAGTAGATAAATACGAAAAGATAGATGCTACATAGACACATCGAAAGTTACTTATGACTCGATCTAATATTAAATTGCGAACAAGTGAATAATTTGAAGTATTTAACATGTTATGCAAATCGTGTTCGACAACACGATGCACATAACAAAATAAATAGCATGGCATAATTCGCGATAAGACTGAACGGGGGGTCTTTTTTTTCTTTTTAAATAAATATCTCGCGATCGTCTTTTTCTCGCGAAAGAAGAGGGGAATCTTTAAAAATGGAAATCGGTGTGAGCTTGTAGTATCGGAATTCGATATTATTCGTTATTATACGGCGTTAGAGATTGATACTACCAGGCAGGCAGGCAAGCCGCCGCAGTATGCCATAGTAAAACGCACTGAGAATTTTAAAATAGATCCACCGAGCAATTTGGATATCGAAAATCGATTAATCGTTCCACTTTGATTCCACAGAACGATGTACGACGTTGTTTGTCTTATTTCATCCCCAAAATTGTTCTCTTTATCTTTCTTTGTTTATTTTTTATTTAAAGACTATTAATTTCGAGTAATCATTTATTATTTTCAAATTCAAATTTGATACAATTTTTCACTATAATTGAAATAAATTAAAAAAAATCATTTTAATATATATATATAAATTAGGTGTCACGTTGTTTGTCCGCAATGGACTCTTAAACTATTGAATCGATTTTAATCAAATCTTGCACACTGTGTGCAATTTTATTCAACTTGAAAGATAGGATTGTTTATATCTCAATTTATAATTCGCAATATTATTTTATTGCCAATTATTTGATTGTGAGCCACAGCAACGCGTGGCGAAGCATCCCTAGTATAATTTATAAAACGATGTTAAAATAATATTGAGAGTACGTTTTTACAAGTATTTGTCGTACGTTATATAAATGATGGACGTAAAATCGTTATTGAAATATTTAAAATGAAGATAAAATAGATAATATATGAAAATAAAGATAAAATGATAACTATTCAACGTTGTTTAAAATGTATAATAATTTAAATATAAAATAATAATAATAATAATAATGAAAGAAATACTTTTAATCAATTTAATGAAAACTTTGCATGCAAATAATAGAATAATATTTATTTAGTTAAACAATATGTCAAAAAAGAAAGATAAAGTGATGTAAGAAATATTGAAAGAGAATTTAAAGGAATACACGTAGTATGAAGTCTTGCGTAGGGAATCCCTTCGATAAATAAAATACGAGTAGACTTTCTTTGATCTTGTGATGCTACGTAAAAGAAAAGTTGACGTGAAACGTGCAAAGTGGTTTGATAGAGAAATAGAAAGTGGAGGGAAAGATGAAATGTTCGCAGTAGTTTTCGTTAATGTTACGAGAGAAGAGAGTAGTAACGCGTTAATTAATTCGATTAGTGTTAGTAGAAGAAGACATCTCATCTATTTCTGTAGTTTGTGTGCGGGGAGAGGAGTAAACGTGTATATGTGTATATGTGTATATGTATGTATGTTTAAATAGAAAAGTAGACGAACACGCAAACGTTGCAAAATATTTCGCTTTTTTTTTTCCCTCTTCCTACCAGAGGATTTCTCTAGCGAGATTAGAAAAACCTAGTTAATCACTTTGAGCACGAAAATGTCGCGACCAAATTGTGTCACAGACATTTTCTCGGATTTGTCGAGATTATTTAAATGAAAGTAAGTAATACGAAATCTTCTTAGTTGAAATTAATAAGATAATTTGATTTCTTTTGTTTGGTTTTTTTTTTTTTCATTTAACTTTCAAATAAATAATAGTTTCAATTGAATAGAAAGAGAATGTAATATCGATTAATAGAAACCCTGGAATCGTTGTTGGATCGTACAATTCGGTATTGCGGCAAGAGTAACTCGATATTACGAGAGAGAAGCATCCCAAGAGCGTTCGTAACGTCGGATGGTCAAAGAAGGAGGATGAGAAGGAGGTGGTAGTATGATGGTGGTAGTGGTGGTGGATGAGAACGAGGAGATGGATAGAAGGAGGCCTGACAAAGATAGCTGCTCGTTTTCAAATTGGCTCGAGAGCCGATGATCGTTCGAGCACATAATCGATGTAATTTAATGAATGACGAACGGGCCGGACCGGGCCGGGCCGGTTTGCGCTCGAGAACACTCGTGAAGGAGCAGCCATAGTGAGAGAGCGCCTATATTACGCGTTCCATATCTATTCTGATGTATATATCCCCATATATGTAGGTAAATATATATATATGTGTATGTGTATGTGTAGGTATTCATACTTACCAAAGAGATACACCTATATATTCAAAGATAGTGGGAGGGACTGTCGAATAAGCATAGTACAGTCCAATGTCAGTCAAGGAATTAATCCAAGAGACAACGTGATGCGTACGAGACTACAAGGACCTTTGGGAATCCTTTAGGTCTCGTTAGAATTATACATCGTTTATGTATTCTACCAACGACTTCTCTCTTCTAACACCTCCCCCTTTCTCCCATCACATTTTCACCATTCCCTGTTAATAATAACATCACGGATTTCGGACATCTTTGTATGTCCCAAGTCTCGTTTCACGTCCGTTCCTTCGTTTCCTAACTTTACCAGATATCCTTCGAGATGTCTAGCAACGTCGATATTATCGAATAAAGTAGAATAGAAAAATGTTGAATATAAAGTACGTGTTATACTTGGAGGTTTTTTTTTATTTTTTTTTTTTTATATTGATCCTATGAAATAATTTATCTTGTTCATTTTTTTTTTTTTTTAATTTGATCGAATGTATTTCGAATGGAAGGATTAAAAAGAAGAAAATAGAGTCGGATAATAGTAGAAGTTTGTTGTCGTTGTGTTGCTTTCCGATTAGCTTGAATTTCGAGAAGAAATCGATACTTTCCGACTTTGATAACGTCCAATTCGTGGATATCGCGAAAGTTAAACCGTTTGTGTTGTCGTTGTTGTTGTTGTTGTTGTCGTCGTCGTAGTTTATGGTTCGATGGTTCGATAGTGAACGGAGAATGAGAAAGAAAATACAATAAAAAAAAAAAGAAAAAAGAAAAAAGAAAAAGATAAATAAAAAAATGGGAAAAAAATAAACTAGAGAGAAAGAAGAAGAGATAGCTACATAGAAAGTTCCAGGTGGTCGCACGCTAACTGGTAATATCCGCGAGGAGGAGGAGGAGGAGGAGGAGGAGGAGGAGCGAGAAAATCCATTCACCGATATCTTCGTTGTTCTCTAGCGCGTCTATCCACTTCGTTAGGATTCATCGAAGCAAAGAGAAACTATGAAGAGAAGCGAGGAAGAACAAGGGAGATGATAAGGGCATCAAATCTCGCGTTTCGATTTGTTCATACTCCGTCTCTCATCCAAATGTTGGATGGATCGATGATGAATAATAACTTTTCTATCCTTTGACAAATTTCGCATTTTTCTATTTTAATTCTTTCCTTATTTTTTCTTTGTTTTTTTTTTTTTTATCTATGAACAAAAAATATAATAAGAATGAATAGATATCTAACGATATATATTTTTTTTGTTAATATAGAGATAATATTGAATCATTTGCATTCTTTGTATAGTTTCATTGTAAAAAATGACTAAAAGATTCAATTGAAAAATATAACTTAAATTAGGGATTAGGATACGTAGACTAGGTGTAGGATTAGGAATAGAAGCAGGAACAGTAGCAACGGCACCAGGAGGAGTGGCGGTGAGGAAGTACCACCAGCAGCAGCACCAGCAGCAGCACCACCACCAGCACCAGCACCAGCAGCACCGCCACCACCATCGACGCGCTACCTCCGCTTCGTACCACCTATGCCTCTACGATCAGTCGACCCCGTGCAACGCGGCACGCCGGCCGCTGCGCGAACACAAGTAGTCTCTGTTGTTCATTATCGAAACTTTTCTCTTATTATTATTATTAAAACGTACGAGTATAATAATCATTAATACTCATTTTATTCAACTCTATCTAACGAGTTATAAATATAACGTGCCGTTATTGTTCTTGACATCGAAAAAGAAGAAGAAGAAGAAAGATAAAAAGAAAAAAAAAAAGGGAGAAGACAGAATGAATGTGACGTAAAATAGCAGAGAAATAAATAAATAAATAAATAAATAAATAAATAAACAAAAAAAAAACAAACATTAATAAAAATAATAAAAAGATAACATCGAAATAAAATTTGATTTTCGCGGTATTCTCCTTTCAATCCTTTCGTATCGAGTAATCGAAAAGTTAAGTGAATAGAAAAAGATAGATCGAGAGAGACCGAGAGAGAGAGAGAGAGAGAGAGAGAGAAAGGAGAGACAGGGAAGAGGAAAAAAAAGGGAGGGAAGAAAGGTGGACCGAGAGCGCGTGCGTGTGTATCGGGTGTGCGCGTGTGTAGGGTCGAAGGTTAGCGCGAGAGTAGCTAAGAAGGATCGTGCGTAAGAGGATTTGCTTAGTCCTCGATCGTTCTAACCGGAACTGTTATCCGAAAGAAAAAAGTCTTTTGGGGATAAAACGTTGTTAGATAAGTTTCTAATAGAAAAAGAGAGTGGGAGAGAGTAAGACACATATAGGGTGGGAGAGGTAGATAGATAGATAGAATAGATAGATAGATAGATAGATAGAGTGAGTAGTGATTGAGTGAGTGAGTGAGCGGGCGTGTGTGCGTGTGTGTATGTGTGCGTGCGTGTGTGTATGAGAGAGAGAGAGAGAGAGAGAGAGAATCGTGTGCGTTCGTACGCGCAAAAGCTGGTTACTCCCCCACTCGCTAACTTGTTGAGCCTCTCTCACGGGCCAAGCGTGCTGTGGCCCGGGTTTGTCGTGTCGTTTAGAGCTGTGCGCGCGAAAACGTTCCTTCCTTTAATGTCAGAAAGAAAAACTATAAAGAACTAGAAAGAAAGACAGAGAGAAAGAGAGAAAGAGAGACAGAGAGAGAGAGAGAGAGAGAGACACGTATAAAAAATATCAAAAGAATATTTCAAGTGATACAAAATGAAAGCGATCGGTTCGTCGTTGATATTAGCGCAATTGGTGCTTGCATTAAGTTCTAAGAGTCTTGGATTTGGTCGTCCCGATGTTCTCGGACAACGCAACGACGTCCACGAGGATCCGTTGGTAGTCGAAACGACGAGCGGTCTCGTACGCGGATTCAGTCGTAAAATTGAGAATCGTGATGTTCACATATTTTATGGTATACCATTCGCTAAGCCACCGATTGGTCCATTACGTTTTCGTAAACCGTTACCTATTGAACCTTGGCACGGTATATTAAATGCAACAATCCTACCAAATAGTTGTTATCAAGAAAGATACGAGTACTTTCCCGGTTTCGAAGGCGAAGAAATGTGGAATCCTAACACCAATATATCCGAGGATTGTCTATACTTGAACATCTGGGTACCCCAGAGAGTAAAGTTGAGGCATAAGGGTTCGGAGCCGCCTGACAGCCCGGAGAGAAACGGCTTGCCGATACTCGTTTGGATTTATGGGGGTGGATTCATGACTGGTACCGCTACTCTAGATGTTTACGATGCCGATATAATGGCTTCTACGAGTAATGTTATCATAGCCTCGATGCAGTACCGTGTTGGCGCATTCGGTTTCTTATATTTGAACAAACATTTTGGAAGTAACAGCGAAGAGGCACCTGGAAATATGGGATTATGGGATCAAGCGTTGGCTCTTAGGTGGCTTCGCGATAATGCCGCTGCCTTTGGCGGTGATCCCGATTTGATAACGATTTTTGGTGAATCTGCTGGTGGTAGTTCTGCCAGTCTTCATCTCATTTCACCGGTAACTCGTGGTCTCGTACGTCGCGGTATACTTCAAAGTGGCACCCTAAACGCACCCTGGAGCTATATGACCGGGGAAAAAGCTCACGAAGTTGCACGAATCCTCGTTGACGATTGCGGTTGCAATTCAACCATGCTTCAAGAGAATCCAACTCGCGTTATGCTATGCATGAGATCTGTCGACGCTAAAACTATATCCGTACAACAGTGGAACAGTTATTGGGGTATTCTCGGATTCCCATCCGCTCCGACGATCGACGGTGTTTTCTTGCCTAAACATCCGCTTGATCTTTTACGGGAATCTGACTTCAAGGACACCGAGATTATCATTGGAAATAATGAGAATGAAGGTAGGACTTAATGAATTGATCGATTAATTAATCGTTGCATGCATACATCAAATCATTGAAATATAATTCAGCTGTTATTTCTTTTTGTTTTTGTTTTTTGTTTTTTCATCTTGAATAATTTTGAAAGGAGTTTTGTAAAACGTTAACCATCGGTGTGTATTCCTTTCTGATGCACGACACGGATGAGCTATTATTTCATTCAGGAAACGAGCCGTATCATTCTGGCCTTTGGTACTTCGCGCGGCGCGGTTAACCAATTTCAACGAGTGTTTATCGCAAATTGACCATTAATTTAACTTCGTTCGAACGTTTTCGCTTTGGCTTTCACAAACGCGAGTGGGAGGAAGAAACCAGATAATATATATATATATAAAAGAGAAAGAGAAAGAAAAAGATACAGAGAAAGAAGAAACTCTGAAGCTACTCGAATCGAGTTAACTTTCATAAATTTATCACGATATATATATATAATGGCATAGGCACTTTGTAAAAGTAAAGATGAAGGGCGAGGCGAGACTCTGACTCGTTTTCTTTTTAAAAATCTAATTTATCTTTCTTGGTGCAGGCACACACACACACACACACACACACATATACACCAACCGATTCATCGATCCACTCGGCAGCTTTTAGCTTCGTTAACAGAGATATACGAGAAACTTTTTAAATCTTCCATCTTATTTGTTTACCCTTCTTCTACTTCATCTTTTACTTCTCTCTCTTTCTCTCTCTTTTTTTTCTTCTTCTTTTTTTTTTTTATATTGAAAAGATTAAAGTTGTTAGGACAATTTTGAATGATCATATTATATATTATTTGAAATTTGTATAAATATAGTTTATAAAAGTATTAGCAATTTAAGGAATCACGGTGTTAATTTAAGCATTAGTGGTAATTACCATAAGCTTTGTCAATGTATAGGTACATGTATATTTATTTTATATTATACTATATATATTAGACTATACTATCTTTCCTCATAGTGAAACATTTCCCTATGAATAGAGGTTAATTAGGTCTAGATAATAGACGGGACGAGTATCTATCGTTGTTTGTAATTACGATCTCTCCCTTTAATTACGCGATTATAGCAATATATATATATATATATAAAGTTACGTAACCATACTAGTAACAAAAGTATATATTTGTATTATAGATAAAAAGTAGTATATAAATTACAATTTTTTATTTCAAAGAAACATCAAAATTATCTACTTTTTTTTGTCTATTATAAATTTTCTAATCAGGTTTAATAGCATCACATGGTATATCTAATAAGGTTTACATAATGTTTATCGAACCTAAATCACACGTTTCGTCTCCAACTATTTTGTTTACACTTGGGGTTGGTTGGTTGGTTGGTTGGTTGGTTGGTTGCATTATGGGACCCTTTTATTTCAATGTGTGTACTTTTGGAATACTAAAAATAGCTAAGCATAATATTTGTTTATGGATCGATAGGTTATCTATGTTTAATGTTTGCATTCTAATTACATATTTACTATGATTGCAATAACCGTACAAGTCACACATTATTTTATACGCTATATATTTGCAATGTTTGTATTTTAATTATATATTTATTGTTATGATTGTATTATAATTTATTACACAAATCGTTGATCCAAACAAAAATAACACTTAATTCTTTTAAAGTGCACATTGGGTGTTTGACACCCCCAGAAGAAATTTTTGATCTCTCGAAAACGTTACTACTGAATTCGAACAAATGGGTTATTTGTCTAGTGCCATCTAGTGTTCATTCAGATGGGTATAAAACCTATTCTATTTTTTTAAACTACTTTTACAAAAATTGCGAGGTCTAAATATTAAATAGCAGCTTCAGGAGATGCGTTCAAACACGTTGGGGTGTCAAACACCCACAGTGGTACACTTTAACTAACTTTTACCAAGTGTGCACTTTAAGGGTTAATATCGTATAAATTTGTAGACAAAAATTGTGTATTATGGTATAATTCGACGTGTTTCATATATTAGGATAATATATATGTATTTCAACAACCCTTTTTAGTATTCAAAGAAATATTCTTGAGAAAGCTCGTGAGTAAGTATTCACGTTTTCGAGGAAGATAAACTCGTCGTTCTGTATCTCGTTTCTTTTTCTTTTTCTTTTTTTTTTTCTCTCTTTTCAAGATTAGGCTACACCAAGCTGATAAATTAGAAAAACGAAGTCGAGTAGTAGGTGACTAGTAGTTGGAATATACATTGTACCTACTTACATACGACACATCCACCCACACACACATATATGTATATAAAATCGTAGGACATATAGTAGGACATAGGTATATATATATATGTGTAAGCTTATCTGAGCTTCTTTTCCGCCGGCAAGGTTACGTGACGTTGGAAAAATCCTGACGAAAGCACGAAGCTTTTGGAATAACCTCGTGAATTTGTCATTACCCTGTCTCTCGTCCCCAAAACTGACCGAGCTTACAATCTTCTTCTCTCTAACCTCGAAGAGGAATTTGTGTTCTAACCATTCGTTCTTTAATTTATCTACTCCGGTTTCCATCTTAATCTAAAGCACACACACACAACCTTCTTTTCCCCCTTTCTCCAATTTCATTGTCTCTTTGTTTTCGCTCTTTCGAGTCGCACCGATCATTAATTGTCGTTTCTCTACCTTGGCGAAAGCTCAATTAAGCTCACCTCACCTCACCTCACCCCTTCTTCTTTTTTTCTTACTTTGTCCATCTCTTTCACCTTTCTCGAGAAATCAGAAGGTTCGTTCTCTCTCTTTTTCTTTTTACGAACAATCTTATTGGAACTAAAACTTTTTCTTTCTTTTCCACCCTTCTTCTTTTCCTTTTTTGTTTTTTTTCTTTCTCCCCTCCTAGTTCTCTTCTTTTTCTCTTTTATTGGATCTTTTTTTCTTTTTTTTTTTTCTATTCCTTTTTTCTCGCTCTCTTTTTCTCTTTTTCTCTTTTTTTTTTTTTTCATTATACGAAGAGGTTCATCACTATTCGAATAACGAACAGAAGAGATTCATAATATTTGCGATCCGGTCACGTAATATTCTCGAACTATTTCTAAATCAAAAGATAGATTAATTAGCTGAGCTATGATAATATTTAAAGAAAATAAAAAGAGAGAGCAAAATTTTCCTATTCTTACTCTTTCTTTTTATATATATATTTTTTTTTCATACGTGAACGATTTTTTTTTCGTTTCATTTCCTGTAAATTATGAATATGAGCGGGGGGGGGGTAGGGGGTTAGAAATAATGAAAAGGTTTTTGAGAAAGTTTGTTAAAAGATTGATTCGTTGTTACAGATAATCGATATATAAATGTATCGTGTGTATAGAAAGGAAAAAAAACAAGGTTTGTGTTATTAAGCATAGCATAGAAGACACGAAAGACAATTTCGTCATGTTAGATTCAACCTCGTCTTTTTATCGGTCTCGATACGTCAATCCTATATGTTCAACCTTAGCTAAGAATAATTGACGTCGTTCAATAATACCGTGAGAGATTTTAAATAGATCCTCCTATATTCCAAGTCCAAACAAGTTCAGTTTCAAAATTGATATTTACATTTTTTACTGTTTTTTGTTTTTCTTTTTGTTTAAATAAATAAATACAGAAAATATATAAGTAACAAACATTACAATGATAAAACAAATATTAAAATAAACAATTCATGAAAATGGTAATTATTTTACTAATATCTTAATATATATAAATAAAGTGTCACGTTGTTTGTCCGCAATGAACTTCTAAACTACTAAACCGATTTTAATCAAATTTTCCACACTGTGTGCAGTTTGATTCAACTTGAAAGATACGATAGTTTATATCTCAATTTATAATTGCAATTGACTTAAAGACGTGTGTATCGGACTGATTGTGAGACCACAGCAACGCGTGGCATCTCTAGTAAATAATAATAATAATTTCAGTTCAAGCAAACATTGTAATCGTGAGATAAGTTATTTCATTTTAATTTCAAATAAATCAATGTAGATGTGAAACATAAGACTATATAATGAATTTAATAATAAATATTAATGTTGGATATATAATCTAATAAGAATCATATTTCTCTCTCTCACTCTCTCTCTCTCTTTCTCTCTCTCTCTCTCTCTCTCTGAGATTTTTAACGTTCTTTTGAAATATGTATGTCCCATGCGCGTAAATTGAAATTAAAAGCGTCGTTCGTTAACGCTCGACCTAGTCCAAGATACGGCCGACCGAACAATTTGCAAAAATATTACTGACGATTGCGCTTTGGTTGGTGATATCGGTTGGACGAACACGTGAGCATAAAATTTGACGTCGTTAATTTATGGAAAACGCGAGTATAATATCTTTTTACCATATTATTTCATTTCGTATTAATATAAGACACGCGAAGAAAAAAATTCGACTCTTTTTATCTTTCAAAGAAAATGATCATTTTCTCTTTCTCGTCTTATTTCTTTTTTTCTTTTAATATTCATAAACATATCACGTGCATTGATAAATATAATTTTTATCTTACATACACATACATGCGTAAATTCATACATTTTTTTATTTTTTATTATTTATGTCTATGTAAGATAATGTTTCATTATTTCTTACAACACTTTTTCAAAACAACAGTTATCAAATCAGAATTGTAAGTTTATCTGTATAATATTTTGGAAATATTTCTGTGCTATTTGATTGAACATATGTAACCGATCATTCGCAAACTACCATAGAGATACACACACATATGCATAGAGACGTGCGTTGTGCACAAGCATATTCATTCATATCGACTAATCCGTAAATTTGGTGTCCACGTTTGCATTAAATCGTATTTCTCCTTCCGTTATTGTAATTTAATCAGATATTTATTAAACGTTTGCTTTCCATTGTATTCATTTCAATTTATATATTTAATTTACATCGAATCAAAAACAACAGATAAAGAGAGATAGAGAGATTCGTGAACATATTTATTAATGCACATTAATAATTTTGTTTATTGAAAAACTCGTCAAT